AAAACTGAAACCAATTTAGTTATTTTGATACAAGTCTGGGTATCTGCTTCAGAATAGGAGTCATTTAATTCCTTTACTGCTACAGCCCAGCAGGCACCAGTGTATCACTTTTGGTGCATCTATTAAAAAATAATCGGGCACACACCTACATACACACACTGGAAACAGGCCCAAAGAAAGACTCCTTAAGTTTCCTGAGATATTTATCTTGACGTTACAAAATTCAAGCTGTGTGAGCAAGAGCTTAGTTTCTACATGTTTGTGCCTTACACAGCCTAACCCACTCTCTCACCCAGTACTTCCAGCACTCGTGTCCCCTATGCAGACAAATGACTAATTCAATTACCTTGTGTGCTGACAGGCCAGCTGGCTGCTGCCTCTTGGCATGGACAGAAAGTGTAAGTTATAACCGTCTTTCCCTCATAGTCTTCTCTCTCTGCCTATTTCCACAAAAGTTAAGAACTTCACACTCCTTTGTTAAATCCGGTTGAAATGGGCTAACAAGTTCAGAAGCTGCAGAGTGACAGACAGACTGCATGGGTGAATAAGTCTTGTTTTCTTTGGAAAACAGATCAAGGCGGGAAAGAAAAGAATCTAAAAAATGATAAAAAAGCAAACTTGTAAGGTAGCTGTATGGGCTGTGCTCCACCAACTCCCCAAGCATTGACCTAGCTCAACCCAATCTAAATCAGAGCAGCCACAGTCCCACCACACCCACAGGCATTCAGCATTGTCCCTTCCCTCCGACTGGCAAATCCTGCCAAAAATACACCTGTGAAAGAAAAAAAGGAGTTGCTTTTTGGCACAGCCAGCTCTGAGCCTGCTCACTGCCTTGTCACATGGACACCAACACAATATAAAAGAAAGAAGCAGGAGCTCGGTAGCCCCAGCTGCCATGGCACTGCACACGTGGTACTTAACAACATGCAAGACACAATCCTGAAAACACTTAACGCCAGACATAAATCTCACAGCCTCATTAGTACCATATCCAGTAATGCGCTGATGTTATAAAGAAGCACATCTGCATTCATGGATTTCTCATTTTGAGAAGGTTAGAAACCAGAAAGAAACAAACTATTGAATGCTACAGCTTTCTGGTTCACTGTAAGCCGCATTCTGGCTTTTTCTTTTTTTTTTTTAAAGTGTCAGATCTTGTTTTCTTCCTGAAAGTGTAACTAAACCTACATCCTCAAGATTATTAAAAATAAAAATAAAATAAAAAAGCACTACAAGCAAACATGGGAATATTTAAACACAGACATCACCCGGTGCAGAATTCCCTTTGGACAGACCGTTGTCCTAAATAAAGTCAAAAGATCCATCAACACTGGATTCTTTGTGCAGAATTCCAGGCCCACAGAACAAACCATTGCAGCCCCACTGATGCCTGGGAAAGATCAGCAGGTAAAGCAGAAGAAGCAGAGTGTAGCCAGAGTGGCTAATTTAGATGGAGGAAGTGTGAACGGCGGAACATAAGGCAAAACATCTTGGGAAGAATATCTTGATGACATCTTATCTTGGCTATACAACGCAGTAAGGTTAGGGGAGAAAAATTTTTATCTGCATACATTTATGATGTCCCTTCCCCATTGCAATCAGAATACAGGCACGAAATCATTACTTATCAATGCGTAACACAGCATGAATATACGTTCATTAGATTATTCATACTAGATATATAAAATAAGAATAACCTTGAATTACAAAACACAGCATTATATTATTTTAAACCTTGACAGGGAACCTTTGATGGAGGGGTTTTAAAGCATTTTTTCCTAGCAATGTATTAATAACAGGAGCCATAATTCTCAGTTTTTATCCTACGGTGAAAATTTGGCAGCTGTTGCACAGTTCCAATCACTTGTGCAGCATCAAATAATAAATACGTTTCTGGATCTAGCACACGTTCTACTGAGCTACCTGCTTTACTGACATGAAACAACAAGAAGTTCCAAAGATTAACTGTGTGCTACATTACAAATTCTGTTCCAAGGTATTTATAAGCCCCTCCTTACAGATATGAAGGAGGAGAGGAATTAATAATAGCAAAAAATATTTTTCATTTAATCAGAAGCACACTCACATTATCCAATAAAATCTTTTAATCCAAATTTACGTCTGAGTTTAATTTAGATCCTTTACTAATAACTTGCACTGCTTCTTTTCTACAGTCTTTTTAAGGTGACCTACATTGTTTGGGAATAAAGGTGAAAAGAAGTCATCACTTGCATGGTATAGTCTAACCCCCACCATATTGGCTTCTAATTTAGCAGCATTATTCATCTTCTTACAGTTACAGCTCTGCACAAAGCCATCAAAGTCACAGGTAAAACTGGCGCCAGCTTCTAGAGGGATTGGATCAGGCCTGCAGAGTTTCAAGATGGGGACAGGAACTGGACTGGAGAGACCCCAAACGTAAATAAATCCAACACAAAAGACCTCAACACTCACCATGCATTTTTGAGGAGTCAGACCTCAGCACAACTGACCTTCAAAAATGGAAGGAAAAAGCGAGCAGTGGCGACCCATATGGAAGAGGAATTTTGGCAAACAGTTACCACCACTGAGTGGTAAACAGCAGTAACAACGCAAGGGAGAACAAAAAAGTTAACGCAGAATTCCACAGAACGTCAGAGGAACGCAAAGAAATCGCAGCCTCCTATTCGATCAGGAAAAGTTTCTGCCTGTATCTGTAGCAAATTAGTACCATGTGAGCAGTCGGACACAGGTAGTGCAATGTAAAGCTGAACAATCACAGCGTTTGATCTGTGACCATGGCGATCCAATGCCTTTAGAAATCATTATTTTCATCTGTTGAAAATAAAAAGTGAACTCGGGGGCCGAGAAAAACCTGCATTATGCATATGGAACAACAACGATGAAATACCTCAGCGTGTGTCATTGAGAGGAGGAAGTACCTTTTTTTTTTTTTTTAATGTCAGCTTAGCAGAGAAGTCATTTTAATTATATAATTACGGAAGATTTGGGAAGATTTACACAAGCCCCATAATTGGGCATAAGACATCACATCCTCTGGTACATACACCGCTCCGGTCTGGGGAACATTCTTTGCTCTGACCAATGTGTGCGGGGGGGGAGGGCGGGGGGAGGAAGGGGAGGGGAGAGGCACGCAGAATTAAAAATACTTCCTCAGATTAAATCGTATTTACTTCATTCGATTAAAACGCTTTGATTGCCGAAGAGGCGCCGAGATATTTCTCGTGACGCATCTGCGCGGTTAAACGCCGCGTTCCCCGGGCGATAGCCCCGACACTCAAACAAAAGGCGGCCGCCTGACAATGAGGGGCTCTTTCTTTTATTTTACCGAGACATTTGCGCATCCGAAGCCGCACCGCCGACCCGACCCGTCCCCTCCGTCGTGCGAGAGCCGTGACAGCCGCCGCACGAAACGTTAAAGCCCCATCCGGCAGATGAGCCATGCAAAATGTCTCCTCCGATCCCACCCCCATCTCGCCTCCAAATAAATAAATAAATGCAGAGGAAATGTGGAAGGCACCGAGCGCACCGGCAGCACCGGCGCTGCCCGAGGCCCCGGGCCCGAGGGATCGCCCTCGCCGCCGCTCGCCGGCCCCCGCGACGGGAGGGCTCCCACCTCCTCCCTCAGACAATGGTGTTCTCCCTGCCCGGGCTCGGATCGCCGCCGTTCGGCGCTAGGCCCCGGCCCCGGCGGGGCGGGCGGACCCACGGGCAGGGCCGAGGAGCGAGGGGACGGCAGCCCCGCTCCGGCCGCCTCGAGGCCGCCCCAGGGCCGCGGCGGGGCGGCGGTAAATAGGCGGCCGTCGAGCCTCGCCTCGCCGAGCCTCGCGCCCCCAACTGAAGCGCGGCCGCCGAACTGCGCAGAACGCTGCCGGGCCGCGTTCCGCCGGGGTGCCCGGCACCGGCTCCCCTCCTCCCGCAGCCCCTGGTCGCTCTCCCCCCGCCGGGCGATGGCGGCGCGGCCCTGAGGGACGGGGGGAGGGGTGGAGGGGTCTCGCCCCGTTCCCTCCCGGGGGGCCGGCGGCGATCGCTCCCTCCCCCCTTCCCCCCTTCCCCTCGGCGGCGGGCGTGGGAGCGCGGGGCCGAGCCGAGCCCCCGCCTCCCTCTCTCTCTCCCTCCCTTCCTCCCTCCCTCCCTCTCTCTCTCTTTCTCTCTCTCTCTCTCTCTCTCTCTCTCGGCGGGGCCCGACGGCCCCGGGCCGGGCAGAGCCCGAGCCAAACAAAGCGCGGCCTGAGCGGGAGCCAGGGGTGAAGCCGCCCGGGCCCTTCCTGCCGCGGCGAGGCCTGGCTCCGCCACCGGCCCCGCGCAGGCCGCGTTCGGCGCCGCGCTTACCCCGATCCCCGGCGGCGGCGGCGGCGTTGTTCCTCTCCTGCTGCTGCTGCACCGGGCGCGGCCTGGACACTCGCCTGGGTCTCCTGTTGGCGGCTCGGACCGAGTTCATTTGCCGACTCGTGTGGGTGGCGGGAGGGGAGGGGGGAAGCCTCCGGCACCCGGCGCCTCGTCGGGAGGAAGGAGGGAGCCGCGGGCGGCCGCCTCGCCTCGCCTCGCCTCGCCGCAGCGGGCAGTAGGGAAAGGAAGGGAAGGAGGGGGCTCCGGGCGCGGGTCCCGCCGCCGCCGCCGCCGCTCCTCGGCTCGCTCGGAGGCAGAGGAGCCGCTGGGTCTCCCGAGCGCTGCCTGCGGGGGACGTCGGCTCCGCGCCCCCCACCCGGCCCCCCCGAAAATCCCTCTCTTAAAGGAGCCCCGCGGTCCTGCCCGTCTCAAGCCCGTCGCTGCTCCGTGGCAGGAGGAGCCATTGACACTGCCAGAGACACACACTCGCGGGGAGGCAGCCGCTGGCGGCCGGGTTCCGCCAATCGCCACTTCCCACACAGCGGGCCGACGGCGGAACGACCAATCGGCGATCCGCTTCTATGGGACGCGGGTTGGGCGAGCGGCGCGGCGCGGGGTGGAGTGGCGGAGAGCGATATAAGGGGCGGGTGGGGGAGGCCGGGCCGGGCGGTGTGCTGTGGGCGAGCGGCTATGGCGGCTGCCGCGGCCGTAGGCCTAGGCTAGGCTGGCAGCGGGGGCTGTTCTGTTGTGCCGCTGGGTCCGGTGCTGGGCCCTCCGCGGAACTCCCGTTGGGCACACAGGTGGGCGAGCAGCGTGATGAGGAGCTCGAGTGCAAGGGGAGGGAGCGGGCTGCCGGAGTGCCTTGGTGTGCCTTGGTGTGCCTTGTGTGTCCGTCCGTCCTGCCTTGGGAACCCGCGTGTGCTCGGCGCTGGGATGGGGGTTAGGTTTCTGTAGAGTGCCGTGGCCTGACGAGTTGTTAGCAACTTCTTCATTGGGGGTGTGTGTGTTTTGTGGTCTGTATACTCTTTGATACATTAATGTGCTGTTTATTTTGGGCTGAATTTCTAGACACGCTGTAAGGCTTCTGTTTTATTCTGTTTGTTGTGTTGCTGCTCTTTTGGTGGTTTGCAACCAGGGAAGAACGATTGAATCAAACTGTGCTTTCTTGCTTTTCAGAGTTCTGCTAATAAATCCAAGCAGTGAGGAGTGCACCTTCTCTTTGCAGAGACTGCTTCTGTTGCTGTGGAGGTTGGTCAGTGTGTAGTACTGCTTTAAGCTGAGCACTTGAGGCCTCTGGAATCAGCACCTGCTGTGTTAGCTAGTGTAGAATGTAAGCAAATGCTTGTAATTAAAAGTACATTAGGCTGAAGGTTATTCAGAGCTGATGTGAAGATGTAGTGGAACCTTAAGAGGTGAGTGCTCTCTCAAAACATAAGTCATAATTTGGAGATGTTTATATTTGCGCTTCTAAAGTCAATGGTAATGAAAGTTGACTGAAGTTCCTATCAGTCTAGAAATCAAGTGTGTATGTAATGCATATATATGAAGGAATAGTTTTTTTTTTCCAGACTTAGTCTTTTGTTGCCATGAAGGAGAAAACAGTGAAGGATTGTTTTCCATGCCTGAGAAAAAGAATTCTTATACCTGTGACAGGAGGATGAATAATAATGTTTATTGCATGTGAAGTGGCCTTCACAGAAGAAGAGAGTAGCTGTCGCTCTGTTTGGGGCCTGTATCTGCAATAACAATTGTCAGGCCAGCCAATAAACGTTTGTTAAGATGTGCAGGTATCAAAGTGCTTTTTGATGTTAACAGCGTTGTGAAACTGCTTTAAATGATCCTTATTCACTGAAGAACTGTGCCTGAGTTTCTGTGATGCAGTTAAGGAATTTCACATCATCTGGAAACTTCTCTAGTGTTTCAATAAATTAACTGTGATTCTGTTAAGCTGTTCTAGTTGATCTCTTTCCTCCTCCAAGATCCAGAAAATGATTTCTTAGTGACTCAAAGTTACCTGAAGTTATTCAGTAGAACTGCCCAAGTTCTTGAAAACGTATTTAAGAGACAAAAGGATGGAGTGCTAATTTTAATCTAAAGTTTCTGATACTAGAAGAAAATTGTTTGAAACTTGAACTAGAGCAAGACTTCGTAGAAGTCAAAATCTTAATCTTGAAGTACTTTAGAACTAAATCATTTCTTGGCGTAAAAACAGCTTTTGTTATTGGCTTCTTAAGCTGCTAACTTGTGTTAAGATCATAATGATATGAGTCAGTAAAACTTACTGTGAATGGGGGAAAATGTTATGACTATTCATGAACAGTTCTAATATGGAGTCTTACTGATTTAGCCAAGATTGAGAACAATCTCTAGAAGGCTACAGTGCTTTGAGTTGATATGGTAAGTATGCTGAGTAAGATGAACTTATTATTTGTATTATGTTACTAAATAAATCATTGGTATGAAAGTGATGTGTGGAAGTGTTTGTTTGTGTCTTACAAGGTGTGGGCTATCAAAATAGTGATGTTACTCTTCTGATAATCTTGGCTGCGTTTTAAGAGGCCAGGCATCAGAAAGCCTGGAAATTCTTCAGAACAGTCTTAACTGGAATACTTTTTCTTTCATAACAGAATTAAATGTATCCTGTTTGTCTCTGACAATCATAATTTCAGTTTTGTGAGTCATTTCTTAAAAACATGTATGTGGCAATCTCATGGATTAATTATTGCTATGAAGCTTCTTGAGGAAACCCCCTTCTGCTACACAAAGACACATGGTGTGTTCTGTGGTACATCCAACCTGCACCGAATTTCAACTGTGCAACTTCTCATTGTGTACACAAAGAGTTGGCTGCCAAGAGATCAACTTCCTTTCTGCATGTGGAAAGAGATGCCACAGTGTGCTTAGTGATGGCAATGAGTTGTTAATTGAGTAGTTGAAACTGCATAACTAATGAGATAGTTTCACAGAAGTAGCACAAGTAGTGATGGAAATACTGCTACAGGGTTTCCTATTTATTTGTGAGGGTGATGTGCAGAGAGACAAGTGAGCAGCTCTGATTCTGCTGATTTCTGAAGGGAAGACAAACACCTGGAAAATCAGCTGAAGATAATGGATAATACAGCTAAGTAATCCTTTTCTAAAATTTCAGCAGAGAATAGAGAAGAAACAAGATGGTGTGATGGTTGACAAATCAGTGTGAGCCAGGGTAAACTATTTAGTCAGCAAACCCAGGTTCATCTTCAGGAATCACCACTTTTATTTCCTTTAATGTACCCATTCTGTAGTACCCTTATGAGAGTGTTGGGAATGCTTTGAATGTGCAGTAGAATCATTGTAGAATGCACAAGTGTCCGACCTTTTGGCTTGCCTGGCCCTCACTGAGTGAAGAGTAATTGCCTTGGGCAGTAAGTTGCTCTGAAAGCGATGCCTCTTATTTTCTGGGAACTACAACAGATACAGTGAGCACAGTAGCTCCATTTGATAGAGCAAATTCTCAACCTGCAAAATGCTATTTCTTAATATAGTCACTGCTGTTAGCTATGCTAACCATGAACATACATGCCATGCTCATCAAAACCTGCACCAACAGAGGTGACCTACTGTTGCCACTGCACCATGCATCTCCCACTGCCTCACTGTGCTCACATCCACTGTTGGATCTCCTTAAATGTTCAAATATCAATGAAGCAGTTGGGTTTTTTTTTTTAAGTGCAGGATTTTGGTGACCCCTTTGTTCCTTGTGGAGTTCCTTGTCAGTTGTTGTGTCAGACTGCCTGTCTGCTGCAGTCTGTCCCACAGCAGCATGTAATGGGATATTGGTGGAAAGGTTTGACCTCTGCTGCCATCCCACCAGCATCCACCTCTGACCATGTGAGCCAAAATAATTAAACTGGAGGCATTACTTTTGGAGCAGTACTTGTGTAACAGTTTAGTTACTTACATGACTTTTTAGTATTTCTATTCAAACCGAAAAAGAGCAACAATTCGTAAAAATAATGGGAATTGTGATCTTGTTTCTGTGAAACTAATGAATCAGTTTGGTTCAGTGGCAGTGGTTACAATCCTCAGTGAGTTCTCAAGGTTCTCACTGGAGTTTTTTTATGAAGCTTTACTCTTTTTTGTGCTTTGTCATTGACAGCAGTTGTTCACAGATGTACCACTGCCAGAAGCGATGATGTGAATAAGGCATGATTGTGAAGTGAGTGGTATTTCTCGTATAAAAATCTGGTAAAGAGACATGATGAGCTTTTTGAGTTGACTATTTGATTATAAATGTGTACATTCCATTTGAAAAATACATTGTGTCAAATGAAAATGGAGTTGCAAGTTTACAAAAATGTTTTTTTGCAATCTTGAAACTGGCGCTCAAATTCCTCGTCTAAACAAATCAAGGCTGCATATTTTTTTGCTGCTAGCAGAACCTTTTAGCCAATGTATCAAAATGCATAAAATTATTTGCCATAATTTGAGTTAGCACTGTGCTCTCTTCATGCCCTGCTTTCAGCTCGGTGTTAATAGCACACTGATATTTGGTTGCTTCTGAGCAGTGGGTGTATGGCTGGGGCTGGGCCAGGCTGCTCGATGGGGTAGAGCTGCTGCTGTGGTGGTGGCTGCCTTGCAAGCTCTGCTGGGCTGCATGAGGGCTGCAGGTTGGACGTGCCTGTTATGGTCCCTGCTTAGCTTGGGGATGTGAGTATTGATCAAAACAAGTCTAGAATAACAGATTTTTCTGGATGGCGGGCTGTGATTTACTTCTAAGGGATTCACAGAAGAGAAGTAGAAACAGCCTTTAAATTGTTTATGAAGGCCTAAATCTCTTTAAGGTTGTTCAGAATCAGCATGTTGAAAAAACATGAAATTCCTGACCTGTTACTAGGTCGAAAGCACAGCATTCTCCATGGTTCTTCCTTAATATTTGAGGAAGAAGTAGTATGTTGAGGCCACTGTTGCAGGTTGTTGCAGAAAGCCCACTACAGGGCCTTCTGCTACGTACAACTCCTGGGTTTGAACAAGAAATAGAAGAAATCATGTTTTTATCTTGGGGTTTAATCAGATCAAATGATTCTGCAAGGGGCCGTGTGTCTGTCCCTCTCCTTGCAGATGAAAGTGAGGCACAAAGCGCTGAAATAACTTGCACAAAAACATCTTTAGGCTATTAGTGGGGCTAGGAATAGAACGTAAGGAACATGAGTCTTTATCTAAGGCTTTCTCCACAGCGTCACATCACAGCTTTCAGAAGCATAAGTTTCTACCTATCATCTCTAACTATTTCATAAGCTGTTAATGTATACCTGGTCTAAAAATACTGTTTTGAAGACTTGGGACTGACCCGCTGATGACTACTTGAATTTAAACCTAGAGGGTTGTTTCTCATAAGCTTGGAAGAAGTGAACCTTTCAGAAATTGAGGTATCTACAACTTGATGAACTTGCTTGCTCTGCAGCTAAATGTATGATTGCTGTTTTGTTGCAGTTGCTCTGACCCCTGGCTCTGCTATGTCTTCCTGATCTTACAGTAAATGATTGTTAAAACTCTCTGCATTTGTCTGGAATCTGTCTCCTGAAATCTAGCTTGATTTTGGCTGACCTTAATGGGTTGCCTTGTGGGTGAATGTCTGTGCCTGGTGTGTTATTTGTTGCTGTACCAGCTTGGATTCTGGAGAATGAGTAAAGACCTTGGGAAGAAGGAAAAATGTGGTGTTTCCTGGAAGTACACACTTTTGAAACTTGGTTATTTAACACCCTAGTTTTGATTCTGCCCTAATAAAAAGTTTTTGGAAGTTGGAATGATATCTGAGGGTTTGTTTGTTTGTTTTTAATAAAAAGTAGCTGCTGAAGAGTCCTGGTGGCATGGTATTTTTCAAAGCACCATCAGCACTCTTCTGGTCATGTTTGTATGTACCCATAGATATTGTTTTGAAACATCACCTGCCTCAGGATTTTCCTGGGAAGGTGTTCAGGTTTTGGTGGCATTGTAGAGCATCCAAAAGATGCTTCTTAAGTGGTATTAGCACCTCAGTGCTAACTCTGAGGTTTATGAAGGAGTGACATCTACTTCAATCCTGAACTCAAGAACTGAAAGCGTGGAAGCGAAGTAGTCTCACTATCAGCATGTGAATACAGTGGTAAAATGTTTTTGCTTCAGATACTGAAAGCAAAGCAGGTTGAGTGTGGATTCTGTTCGTGTTATCTGCCTACTTTATCGTTTTGTTCACTGGTGGGAACAAGTTCTTCATATTAACAACGATGAATACACAGAATCTTAGTATCTTTCTTTGCTGTCTGGTAGACCACTGCTGTGGATCTCCTGCTCCAAAACTGTATCCTGTTCTTCAGGGGGCTTATTTAACTGTGGAAGGGTTGTGAAATTAGTTGCAGTGAGCCTGCCAACAACTGATCAGAAAAAGTAAATAGGTATGACACATCATATGCTTATGTTTTGTCAGTTTGTTCCATCTCTGTGTTGGGCAGCTGGAGGAGAGGAGTTGGGTCCTTGTTCTTCTTAGCCTCAGTTGTATCTGTCAGTCATGGCTTATCTTAGGAGTGAGGAAAAAGGTCTACTTAACATTGTGATTTATGGAAGATATTTCCCCAGAAAGGGTTTTTGAATGTCCTGAAGAGTATTTTGCAGTTAGGGTTTAATTTGTTGCCATTAAAAAGCAAGCCTGCTCTTCACAGGTGTTGTTTTGCTGCCCCTATCCTGTCCCCTGTTCTGTCAACTAGTATTTATGCAACAGCATGGTTAAGCAGATCAAAGAGGTAATTTAGCTGAAAAATAATCTAGCTAGAAGTGCAGCTAGTTTTTATGTGCATGGATAACTGTTATTGCAGGCATGTGGCAGGAAAGCATGGCTCTTGTGTGGTGAAAAGTTTGGGTTGCACACAGTTGCTGTGATCCTGGAATTGCATGCCATTAGCCTTCCTGAACCTTTGGGTGAAAGCCATGTTTCGTTAGGTCTGTTTTTCTGGGATGCTCTCGGATGTGGCTGCTCTGCTGTAGGATCTCTTTAGGCTGCTGATGAAGCACTGTATTGTGTTTCTTGGCTAATCCATCCATTTCAGCAAGTGGAAGCGTTGCTTAAAGATAACCAGCTTACAGTGGCTCAAAGCATATGGCCTTAATGACTATAAACAGTTTTGTTTCTCTTTGTTGCCACGTGGTGGTGATGTTGGTTGTTCCCTCCTACCCAATAGATTGATCAGTGCCTCCAGATGACTAACCAGTGCCATGTGGTTTTGGCAGTTACCAATATGGTGAGGAAATGCATGCTCTTGTTTGTATTCTTATTCACATGTAAGTATTCCTGTACCTCAGCAGGGTGAGCTAATCAACAGGAAGTATTTTGCAACAGACAACATTGACAAAATATAATCATTTTTCAGGGTAATGTGCTACAGGTATCTCCTTTTGAATCCTTGGTCATCAAGGTCCATAACCCTTTGTTTCACAGAGGACGTAAAATCAGGAATTCACCCAGGCTAACCAGTAAAGGATAACTGGCACTGTGTATGGAGGGGACTGTTCTCTCCTTCAGTTGCCCATGACTAATGCCTTGGGTTCTCATGAGTTTTATGCTGACAAGCAGAGATGGGGAAGAGATCATCCATTCAGAACGTGTGTTTAAATGAGATCGATAGCACTCTAAAATCCTCTCTGCTGACTACTGATTATAAGTGTCAGTGTGATCTAGGCCTTGAAGAAATTTATATGATATAGGTGACAGCATAGTCACTGTAAGGAGAGCTTCCAAAACAGTTACATCTAGGATCTAACTTTGCTTAATCAGTTCTGACTTTCCTGCACTTGTCTGTGTCCAGTACTACAAACCCAGGTCTGCTGAGGCACTGAAAATCTTATATCTTCTAGTAGCTCACTGTTTGTTTCTGTTCTTCTTTACAGCAAAGCGGAAGAGGAAAGTGGAAAACTGAGATTCTCAAGTATTTTGAAGTCTCATTTGGGTAAGATGAGAAGGGAAACTTGAATAAGGCAATATTAGTCAAACATTCTAAAGATTTTTCCAATTAGGAATTGTATAAAAGGAAACTGTGCATGCTGTTTGTGTGTACGGGTTGTTGTCAGTCACTGTAAGCTCATGATTGATATGCTGTTCTAGAAGTACAGTATGTTTGTTTTGTAATCTCCATTTCTTCATAGCTGATCTTTGTCTTTTTTCATCAAACAGATGATCTTATTTCTCTTTGTGATTAAGTTAATGACTTTGTCTTGTAAATATTGCTTGGCAAAAACAGGTATATTTTTATGTAAGTTTGGTTTTAGATTTAGGTAGGTAGCATTACTGTATCTGTACAGTACATTACATCTGTAGGTAGCATTACTTCTGCTGAAGGTGTGAGTTTTATTTTTTTCCCCTAGTGATAAATGGTGCAGAAAACAAATTGAGTATGAGAAAAAGCATCAAATCAAATGTTCTTTATATAAACTCTTTTTCAACGTGATGTGAGTTGCAATGGCTGATTCTTGGGCAACATTGGACTGTGGAATATGCAGAGCAATTTTTCATAGCTCTGAAGAAGTTTGGGTGGATACTTTAGGGCTAGCCATCACAGTTATGTAGTTTCCACAGCCTGCATGAGTGTCTTGACAGCTGACTGTGTTCTGTTGCAAGACAGTATATTGGACTATGTATGCATGCCTTCAGTGTTTCAAAACTCAGCCTGTGAGGTGTGGGAGAAAGAAGCTAGCAGTCACATTTATGAGTCAAATTCTTTGGAGGTGTGCAAGAGTGGTTGGTGAAGGAACATGAAAAGATGAAGGTTGGGGAATGGAATGTTTGGTGTTGGTTTTAATTAGAATTGTCCTGTCCATCATTCATACCGTGAGATAAAAGGGAAAAATATCCTCTCTGCACATGCAGAGAAAAATATTTCTATTACAGTTGGTGAGCAATTCTAATTGGACTGCCAAATATAAATTTGTCTAAAACTCATACCGATTCAGTATTAAAGCTAGCAGTTTTCTCAGAAAAAAAAAAAAAACAACAAAAAACCGCAAACCACCAAACTAATAAAGCCCAGTCTGTAAACTTTTCTCTCATGAATATAGGTCTTCTTGTGGCTTCTTCCTTCCAAACAGTATAAAGATGGGATTCATATTGTGGTTTGGAAGAGAGCGTGTTTTAAACCAGAGGAGGAAGTCAATGGATGACCTTTAGAGCTTAGGGAAGAAGGCTTTGGAGGGGCTTTCTTCCAGCCAAGGAGTAACCAGCTGCTTGACCACGCTGTTGTCTTCCCACAGGTGTGGGGTGGTGACATGCCAGGAGAGGTATTTGCTACCCTTGATGGTAGTTAGTCATGCTAAGTGTCCTGTGTTCTAATCTCCCGGCATTGCAAAGCAGCCAAAGTGACCGATACTGTTACTTCACGTGCTCCTGCAAGGTAGATTAGAATCTGCTGCTTCTGAATTTAATTAGCTGGCAGCATCTTTAAAATACTTTCTGGAGTGTTTGGATTGTAATCATTTTTAAGGCTTGAAGCTTATTAAATGAAGCAAAACAATCTGTTCTCCTTTCGTGTTAAAAAAAACTATATTCAAATTGTTCTACATTTTAAAATTTAACATCAGGATAAGTGGGTGCAAGTAACCCTTTCACCCTCCGATTGATACAAAGGACGTTCTCACTTTGTTTAAATGCCTCTGTGTAGTCTGTAGTTCCATCTGAACAAATCTGGTTTTGGCTTCTGACTAAGCATACAAAGAGATAGGCCGGGGTAAGTACGTTGGGTTGCTATCAAGCATGATATGACAGATGTCATATCTAAAAATAATGGTAAAGAAAACAAAGCTCTAAATTGATTGCTTTCCCTTTCTGAAATACAAGTAAGGCAGTTTTGACATTATTCAATTCAGGTCATCAAATTCATATAATTATACACTGATGTAATGCGTACATCTTAGAAGAATGAGCAGTACAGAAAGGTAAGTGTGAATGTAAATTTACTCATCTTTTATAAAATGCTTTCTTGAGGTGCTGACATTTTCAGTGCATTGATTGTTCATAATGAATACTCTTGCATAAAATATTGTAAAGGCAATTTTCTGAGGCCAGAAAATGACTAAAAAGTTATTCACTAAAGAGCAGTCAATAATCTGTGTCCGGAAGCAGATTTATGGGATGTGAAATAAATTGATGTAACAGAGGTTGCTTACATGAAAGAATTACCTGCCCTTTTACAGATTCGATGTCCTGAAACAGAAACCTCAAAAGTGATGTGGGCCAATTCAGAGGCAGTCATTCTGTACTGCGTAGTCCTGGGCCACTGGAGGAAAAGAAGAAAATGGCTTTGGGCACAGTCCCCCTACTTGTAGCAGAAGTTCAAGAGGTGGTCATCTCTGCAGGTAAAAAGCAAAGGTTTTTTGCTATGTACCTCAGGATGGATTATGCTAGTCAATGGAGATATAGTATATTTCAAGAATTTACTTAAAAATAAGGAAAATAAATTAGTTGATTCTGACTGCTTCCAGGCAGTAGTTTTTTAAACAGCTTGTCGTATGTTTCTTGGCTTTTATAGCTTCACATAAAAGGTTTTCCTGGTTCATAAAGGAAATTAATGTGAAATCAATAATGGCATTTAAAAATTCACCAAACATTTCCCATCCGGAGAAGGTGCTACTAATGATACAGCAGAGTGGGAAAAACAGCATTGACCCTAAAGGCAGACAAAAAAGAAAGCAGCACTGATGGAAAATGCAGTGAGGAGTTACACTTTTGGGCATACCAGGAGCAGGGGAGATCTGCCTGTACCCTGACCTGAACAAACTGTGGGATCAACTTGCAAAAGTCCTTTGCTTGAAAATGTGGCCTAGATGCTGCACTGACTTCAAGCTAAAGGATGCAAGTGGCATGAACAACAAAGAAAAGCTCACTTGATGGTGAAAATACCAACAGAAACAGTAAGACTTGTTTCTTGTAGTATATTACAGCTGTATAAACCACTGCATTCCGGGCAATGAAGAGGATACCTTTGCTGCTTCAGATTGCTTTATCCTGCTATCCCAGGAAACTTGGAATCATTGTGGAAATGGGAAAGACAAGACATAGAAATGGATTTGTTCATTAGTTTCTATTTTTAATGAAAGCCCTAAGAGGAACCATACAAAAAATACAAGTGAAAAAATACCTGGTGGTCTGGTGGCTGTATACATGCTTAGGCCACTACTCTACTGAAAAAATTCCGTTGTAGGTATAAGTTGTGCTGTTTAATAGCACTGTAATTACTGACAGTTGTCACATTTATACCATTTGTCAGTTTTCCTTTCTCCCTCCTTTTTCCAGCGCTTTTCAGGGGGTGGCTCAGAAATAGTAGAGCAAGCCTTTGGAGTTTGGGGTGTGTGGTCCTTGCTGAAAGGTGGTTTGCTGATAACCTGCGCCCAAGAGCGCACCTCTGTGCTGTGCAGCCTCACCGCCAGCACCAGGTGCGGATCTGGGTGCTGTAGTAAAAACAAAAAAGAAGAAAAAAAGGGCTTAAAGCTGTTTTAGAGTCCAAAGGAGGACTACAAAGATGGAGAAGGGTCTGGAGGGCAAGGAGTGTGAGGAGCAGCTGAGGCCCCTGGGTTTGCTCAGAGCAGAGGAGTTGTGGAGAGGCCTCAAGGCGGCTGCAGCTCCTCAAAGGGAGCGGAGGGCAGCGCTGAGCTCTGATCTGTGTGATAGCATGGAGCTGTCAGGGCAGGGGCAGCTGGGGGTTAGGGAAAGGCTCTGCCCCACAGGGTGATGGATGCTGCCCCAGTACTGGAGTGCAAGGAGTGTTTAGACAGCGCTCTCAGCCGCAGGGTTTGGATTTGGGGTAGAGCTGTGCGGAGCCAGGAACCAGACTCGATGATCCTTGTGGGTCCCTTCCAACTCATGATATTTTATGATTCTGTGGTTCTGCCACCTCCAGACACCCATACCTACATTTCCTCAGTGATTTTCAATCATTTTGAAATACACATCTCTATTGCTTACGGCACTTTCCAGTTTGGGGCATTGAGAGTCTTACATTTTCCCAACCTTTTCTGTAAGCTTCGGAGTCAGGAAATCATTTTGCTTTCTGGGTAAAAATTGTGATTTTGCATGGAAGCACTCCAGTCCAGAAGCTGAGGCTTCAACCAGCAGATAGGGGGTTCACGATAAAGCTGGCAGAACTGCGCTGCTCTGAGCACTTTCAGAGACATATGCTGCTTTTCCTGCTCCTGGAAGAAGTCCCACAGATGTCTCATGTTTATTCACTTGAGTCATGGTTGCAGAGCTGGGTTTTTGGTGGTTTGAATTCCCAGATATGCTGCATATTTATGGCGTTGAAAGTGCTAATTCAAAATTAAGTGCCTATTTTAAAAGAGGATTATGTTTTACCAAAAACCGATAGTTTGAATTTAGACTAAATTTCCTCTCCAATTATAACAATATTTGGGCAGAATGAGACATCTCCGAGGACAAAGAAACAAAACAACATGAAGCTAAATGGGACATGGCATGCTTTTATGTTGAGTTCGTTTTCCCCTTGTTTTTTACCGGTGGCATTATCGTGATATTAGTCACTAGGTGGTGCTATCCCACATGGTCTCCTGCATTCCTGCTCTCTGGGTGCGAGTGGCCTGGGCTCTATGTTTTCAGCAGGCATTTGTTTTGGAAAGAGGATCTGAGCTATACAGTTAGACGGTGGGCTCTCACAGCTCTTTGGACAGGAATGAATTTTTAAAGTAAAATTACCCTAGAGAGCGTGGGTATTATTTTTTTGACTGAGATGCCAGAAATGAGGGATTGCCTGTGTGCCATTTATGACCATCTCTACACTCAGATTAATGTGCTCTGTAACAATTGCTGGTGCTAAGCCTGTTCTTACAAGCAGTTTAATTCTACAAGCTCTATTAAGATAGAAGGCTTTAATGTCCGATGTATCAACACAATAATAGTTTTTTTCCCGTGTGTACTTCTGCTGTTAACGGAATGTATTATATGTATTTTTATACGTTGTACCACTAACAGATGTTAGGCAGCCTGAGGAAATTCACACTACGTTTTCACTTCTTACGTTTGTTTTGTATTTTCAAAATGATGTTCCAAATTCATTCTGTCAGATTTTTTTTGGAGGGGGGGGTTGTTGTTGTGTTTTGTTTGTTTTATGAGAAGTGGAAACAAATACTATCCAGAACAGTCCTTTCCAGGGTAGAAAATCTTAGACATAGAAAATCTTAGCCCCAGTAAGAGATTTTTAGAGATTAACTGAGTACTGAGGAGAGTCTGAAAATGGGAAACATTTCTCCATGCTTTCAAAATTTTCCACAAGGCTTTTGGAACATTTGAATTATCTGACTGTAAGTCAGTTTGGTTTTCAGGCGAAGTTGTTTTCTTTTTCCTCACTTGTAGTATTTTTACAGGAAGTGAGGACAAGATCAGACAGATGGAAGGAAAAAAGTGTGAAGGAATTGCAACATCAAAATCTTTTTGATTTGAAAAGTGAAAACATCAGTTGCGTAGCTTCCACATCTACATTTCAGGAAGTTTTTGAAAATGCCTTTTATTTCTTTTTTATATGCTGTGCTTATTCAGAGAGGGTTGAGAATGAAAAATATCAATAAGGCCTTTTAAGTGTTTTCATATGGTATCTATCTTCAGCTGCATACCAAAAAACGTCTTTGTTATTTTTTCATTGAGGCCCTAATCTTGGAATGACTTTTCATTTACCGGTGCCTTTTAAGTCTGCTGTTCTGTTTCAGGTCAGATCCTTCCCTCTTGCCCCTTTTACCCTGTCTCAGCCTCTTGCATACTCACCGTAGGGCAAAGCTTGCAGTTATTTTCCACCTGCATGAGAAGGATTTCCCCTCTCAGGGATCCACAGTGGAAGCCAAGCTGAGTTCAGGCTGGTTCTAATTTGTTTTTTTGTGAGAAAGTTTCTTGTGGCGTATTATATTTAATACTGAAACCTACAATTTGTGAATTAACTTGTTAGCAGTTCAAAGGCCTTTGTTTATTATTTGGTTTAGTCAGGTGAAATGGCTTGTTTTTTCTTTTTTTGCATCATTAGCACTGCCTTTGTCTCTGTTGCTGTTCTTATTTAACCTTGTAATGGTATACTCACTAAGCTTCCTTCTTTGACAATAATTTAGTAATATTAAAATACCACTTTCAAGGAGAAAAGTTCCAGTATCTGTTTTTTAGAATTCTGATGACTTGAATTGGGAAAAAGAAAAAAAGAAAATGAATTCCCCTTAAAACTATGTGTCTTCTTTAGTTGCTTCAGATTAACAATGTTATAACATTTAGATTCTTTGAAGTGTGTGTGTTTTAACTTGTCCTAGGGTGCTCAGGTTTATTTGCATGTATTTGACATGAAAGAAACAGTTGAAATCATCCTAAAAAAACAAAAACAAATGAACAAAAAATACCACAACACCTTATTATTCTCCCCTGATTTGCTATTAGAGTTTGTAACCCCTGGTAGCACACAGGATTTGTACTCAGATTATTGCTCACAGTCCCACTTCGGTCTTGCAGTCTTGCAGTGACCATGTGCCAGCGATCACACCTCAGTTATCAGATCTGCAGCTGAATAGATCTTGTGAACTGCTGTTGAAAGTGCCTGGAGATCCATTCAGATGAAAGGCTGATGTTCAGAATGGAGTTTCTTGTACCCAGTGTTCTCTTGTGTTTCTCACTAGGCGTTCATGGCCTTCAGCTGGAGCTGGAGAAGCTAACAGTTGTTTGCCTATGTCAAATAATTAAAAGTATAACAGGAGAGAACCATGCTCAAGTTTTACCAGGTACCAGTCTAAAAATGTAATCCATCATGCTGTATAGGTAACTTACAGATTAGGGAAACCAAAGAACTTCCCTTATGAGGACAGGCTGAGAGCTGGGGCTCTTCAGCTGGAGAAGGCTCTGAGGGACTTTATAGAGGTCTTCCAGTACCTGAAGGAGCCTACAGGAAGGATGGGGAGGGACTTTTTGTAAGGGCACGTAGCGACAGTATGAGGGGAAGTGACTTTAAACTGGAAAAATGCATATCCAGACTAGATATTAGGAAGAAATTCTTCACTGTGAGAGTGGTGAGACACTGGAACATGTTGCCCAGGGAAGTTGTTGATGCCCCCTCCCTGCAGGCATTCAAGGCCAGGCTGGATGGGGCTGTGAGCAACCTGGTCTAGAGGGAGCTGTGCCTATCTATAGCAGGGGGTTGGAACTACATCATCTTAAAGGTCCTTTTTAACCCAAACCAGACTATGATTCAGTGATCTGCGTCACAAAATGAAAGCGTAGCTACAAGATCTGCTTGGAATTTTTGTGCATGTTTTGTTGAGAAAGAGTCAACAATGCATTGGGCTAGATGCTCGTCTCAGTTTGATTTCCATCCTGATGTGGA